ACCCCCAAGCCCACCTCATTCCTTACTAGCTCAGAACACACCGCAACCACCCTCTCTGAATCCCCCCACCTCCCTGAGGTCCACGGGGTGGCTCAAGGGAATGCAGACAGCCCCAGACATGACGCCTCACTCCACCCTGACTCCTGCTGCCTCCTCCCCCTGGGCTTCTATGTCTTGGGTCTCCTCTGGCTTCTGTGTGCCTCCGTGGTCCTGATCCTGCTACTGACCCGGGCCCCGCGTGCGAGGCCACAGGCCCTGGCCGCAGCCACGCATGCCACGCATCTGGAGCTGCAGAGGGGAAAGCAGGTGACCGTACACCGGGCCTGGCTCCTCCTCCTCGGGGGCGCACTGCCCACCTTCCGCTCCAGTCTCTTCCTGTGGGTGCGGGCAAACGGCCGCGTGGGGCCTCTCGTGGCGGGACGGCGGCCCTCGGCCCTGAGTGAGGGTCGTGGCCAGGACCTGCTGGGCACCGTGGGCATTAGGTACTCTGGCCACAGCCTCTGAGGCTGGGTGGTGTGGGGCCCTGAGAGGCTGTGATGGCTTTCCTGTCGGGCTCTAGCTGGGGGGTGGGGGGGTGCTTAATTACTTTTCCTTTATCCGAAGCCTCTTCTCCACACCTCGGGCACAACCACAGCAAAGCAGCGGGGGTGGTGAGATGTGACAGCTGGGTGCGCCACAGAACAGGGCTTCCCCTGCCACGGTGCGGGGAGGGTCCCAGACCCCTAGGTCATCGCAGTCACCTTGGGGAAGCTTTAGGAAAAAGCAAACGCAACAATCAGCATTCTCACAAGCGCACTGAGACCTGAAAAGAGACGGATCAAGATAAGAGCCCTGCGGCCCCTGGGGGCTCAAGTGGTTAAGGCTCAGGTCAGGATCTCACGGTTTGTGGGTTTGAGCCCCGCGTCGGGCTCTGTGGTGACAGCTGGGAGCCTGGAACCTGCTTCAGATTCTGTGTCTCCCTCTCTGACCCTCCCCTGCTTGCACTGTCTCTCAAAATATAAACACTAAAAACAAAACAATAAAAAGCCTGCCCTGATGGCCCCTGGGTAGCCTAAATATGGTAGTCTTATTTTATTTTCCTTGGCTTGGTATTTTCTAGCTTCCTACCATGGAAGTTGTGTAAGAAAAAAAAATTTTACGAATAAAAGTTTGTTTCCTTTTGAAAGGAAAGGGTGCCTGGAGCACCTGCCGTTAGCACATCTGAGGCCACACCTGCCCCCACTCTAGAGGAGCACTCACCCAAGAGCTCGGCACCCCCTCCCGCCTCCTCCAGGGGGGCGGCACCCCTCCACACAGCCACAGCTGTCCGCCCCGGGAGCAGCCCCCCTGCCTGTAGCTTGCAGGCCCAGGCCCGAGGCCCGGAGGGGCGTGGCGTGCCCACTTTGGTGGGTTTTACCAGGTGGTCTCGGAGAAGCCAGGACACAGGAAAAGGAACCCACTTCCCTCGGCTCCGCCCCTTCCCACTGCACTGAGCGGAGCCCCTTCCCCAGAGGGCGCCGCTCACACTCCCCTGGACAGATCAACCGCGAGCTTGGCTGGCCGTCAAGGGCTCCTACGCGCCGCCCCCGCTAACCTCTGACGACAGGCCCCTCGGCCCCTGTGCTCTGGCTGCCGCAAACCTGCAGATCACCGCCTCTGAGCCTCTGCTCTCCTGCCGGCCGGGAGAGCTGCCCGTCCCGCCCGCGCACCACCAGCACCGGCCGTGCCAGGCCAGATGCCCCACGGTTCACAAGCTCTACCCCTTACCCTGCAACGGTCGGCTGCGCTCTCCCCTTTCCGCGTGCCCTGGGCCCTCCTCCCCCCTGGACTCGGAACCTCGTAAGGACAAGGTCCAGGCTCCCGGTGTCTCAGAGCGGCCACCACGGCGCAAGCCAGCAGACGCCTGGCGAGGGTAAGAGGAGAGGCAGAGCTGGGAGGGCCCAAGCCAAGGAGTCAGTTCCCACCTGCTGCCTGCCTGTCCCCCGGCCTGGCTCAGGAGCCTTCGGGGCCTCAGGCTGTCCAGCGCTCCTTCCACTTGACCTTCCCGTGCCCTTTAACGCCCCAGGATACTCTTTAGGCTCCTGGAGGCAGGGCCTGGGCGTCTTTCTTCTAAAGAAACAGGGAAAGGCAGTCACCCTCCCCCCCCGGGGTGGGGCTCAGATCAACACCCCCACCCCCACTTCCTCCAGCCTCCAGGCTTTGGGGGTCCTAGGCCCTGCCTCTTTCTTTCAAGCGCCCCCTGCCCACAGGCCAGCTTTCCCCACTGACTCCTCATTCCCTCCTCTCTGGGCTGCAGAAAGGCGGCGGAGCCCGGAGGCTTTCCTTGGGATCACGGGAGGTGACCCACGCGTCTGAGGTCCTCGGACTCCTTCTATAGCTGACAGGACCCGGGTTTGGGTTTTCCTTACCTGGTGCGACAACACTGATTTACACAGCGTTTGCGTAAAACCAGCAGGTGCTTCTTCCTTTAACACCTTTCCCGGGAAACTCCGGTCCCTGTTCTCCGCGGACCTCCACTACTTCCTCCCCTCCCCCCACAACTATCCAGATCTGGGGGCGGTGTCATCAATCCAATTTATTCATCACGTCCTCCCACCGCGACCTTGTGTGATCGTCCCCACAGCTTCTGCCGTCTCCTGTCCCCTCAGCTCTGCCTTGGTTTACCCACCGAGAAGGCGAGTCCTCTGCTGTCCTACGTGCCCTGAAACTAACACCCACGAGAAGACCGGAAGTCCTTAGCAAGTGTCCCAGCTCCCTCCAAGGCACAGCCAGGGGCAGACATGTCACGAGGATGAGCACAGGGAGGGCGAGGTGACGCAGGGACAAGACAGACCAAAGTCCTTTACCGCAGAGGAGAGGACCACACCGTGGAGGGAAAATAAATAGAGGGGCCCAGGGCGGCAGAGTCCAGGCCCCCGGGGCGCGCGGACTGTGGGGGCAGTGGGGAGGGGAGCCCTGGCACACTGGCTCCGGGCCCCTTGCCTGCCTCAGCCACTGAGGAAGAGACGCTTGTAGGCCTTGTTCATCTGCTCCAAGAAGATGAAGGTGAGGACGGTGTGGGGGCCCAGGCGGGCGTAGTACGGCGTAAAGCCCTTCCACAGGCTGAAGAAGCCCTCGTAGCGGATGACCTTCACCAGCACGTCCTGAACGGGCAGACAGGCGGGGCTAGGGCCCGGCTTCTAGGACCACGTCCCTTCCACCCACTACCCTCACCACCCTCCTCCAGCCCGAGCCCCTGTCCAGCCTCCTCACCAGCCCGTTCTTGTATTCCGGCTTCCCGTCGATCATTCTCATGTTCTGAATCCTGGAGGAGAGAAGGTAAGGGCGTGAGACACGTGAGGCGGGCCCTCCCATCCCCTCCGGGCCCAGGCCCGCGCGCTCACCGGGTCTTGGCGATGTCCACGGGCATGGAGGCGGCAGTGGTGACCAAGCCGCTGATCATGCTGGCGCAGAAGTGGCACAGGATGTTGTCGGAGAAGTAGCCTGGTGGAGGCGGAGCAGGGGTGAGTCAGCTGGGAGCTGGCCCGGACCAGGGGGCAAGGGCCCAGCTCTGGGTCTCACCTGAGTCCAGTAAGAACTGCTTGGACTGGGAGTAGGAGGCAAGCTGGGCCGCGTTGACCACAACCGCACGAGCCATAGTAGGGATGCAGCCCTGTGGGGGGGTGGGGGTGGGGCAGTGTGCGTCAGAAACTGCAGAGACGTGACGCCCCCCCCTCCCCCCACTCTCCAGCCCCTCACTCACCCTCCATAGTGTGGGGACGCCCTCCTCCCGCACAATTCGAATCAGGGCATTAAACACGTTTTTGTAGCCCCGGCGCTGGTCAGGTGGAAGCCTGGTGGGAAGGCGGGGCAAGCTCAGGATAGACCACCCTGCCCCCCAGGAGCAAAGAAAGGGAGACCAGAACAGGTCAGTGTTCAGCACCAGACCCAGGATGAGAAACCCGTGCTCTGATGCTAGAGTCCAGGGAATGAAGCAAGGACTCACCGGCCGTCGGCGGTCATGCGGATAAGAGCCACCTCAGCCGGGGTTCCCACAAAGGCCCCAGTCGCACCGGCCGTCATGCCAATCAGGGCCTTCAGCAGAAAGCCAGGGGGTGTACCGTCAGCCCCGGTGAGGCGCTCAAACAGCACCGTGTAGATGCCGAGGCGGGTAGTGGTGTAGGTGGCCTGGCGCAGCAGGCCAGCCGACAGCCTGCGGAATGAAGGGGTCAGTGCATCAGGCCAAGGTCTAGGAGCCGCCGGCCCGTACCCTGCCCCGTCTCCTGTAGCCCCGTTACCCAGTATAAATGCCCCGCAGCCCTTCTGCCCTCAGGATGCTGGTGAGGGCGTGGAAGCTGGTTTTGTACTCTCGCGTCTTGGCTCCTTCCCCACTCAGCTGCATCCGGTTCTTCACCAGATCCAGGGGTTGCACAAAAACCGTGGCGCCCATCCTAGAGGAAGACAGATGCGGAGTCAAGGGCCACGTGTCCCGGACCTACCAATGACCACTGGAACCTGGCAACAAGGGATCACAAAGTGCAAAGCCTTCCACGTGATCAGCTAAGCGTCCCGGAGGCTAGTGGGTATGTATGTAAGCTTCTGCCTGTACCGAAAACAATAGATCTTTAAAGTCCAGCAGGGACCGCAATGAAAATGCTCCACGCAGCTCCGCGGGGGGTCAAGCGGTGACCTGAAACTACATGCAGTCCGACCCCGGGGAGAGGAGGTGGACATTCAGGACCTGGGGCTCCACAAAGTGGGACAGGAGCCACGCAGTGACCTGGAACCCCACGTAACCCGGGAAAGTCGAGCAATGACCCAGTACGCTGACCAGTAGGGGCCCTGCAGCGGGTAAAGAGGCCCTGGCGGCCCTTCAAGGGCCTCACGATACACCGGGGGCCGCGCTGACCCAGGGCCGGCTCTGCAACAGACCCGGTTCCCTGCACCCGTCCCTTCCTCCTCCCGTCCTATCCCTGGGGCCAGAGCTTACCCGGCCAGGCCCCCAAACAGGAACTTGACGGACTTCGGGGAGGTGCGGGGCTTCGCGTCCATCCCGCCGGCCCCGGAACTCGCCGTCGCCGCCATCGCCGCTCAAGGGCCCCCGGCTCCGGGTCCTGCGCGCGCGCGGCCCCACTCGCGCCCAAGGTGACACCGCGCGCGCAACAGGGCCGAGGGCGCGCGCGCACGCCCCTCCGGCTCTCGGGTCCAGCTCCAGCTGGAAGCCGGCGCAGGCGCAGGCGCGCGGCGCAGAGGCGACCGGGAGGAGGGCGGGGCCGAAGGCGGGACTTGGAGGCTGGGTGCGGGAAGGGGTGTGGCTGGCTTAGGAAACCTCTTAGATGCAGTTTTCACCGAATTGGACTCGCGGGAAAACAGTGTCAGGAGATCTCGCGAGACAAAGTGAGCTAGGGAAACCAGATTTTGGACGGGAGGGGAGGGTGTCTCTCGCGATAGACTCGGCAAGCGCTCAGCGGGTGGGAGGGAAGGTGTGGTGAGGACTCTCGCGAGACCTGAAGGCACCGCGGCCGCCTCGGCGGCCGGAGAGTCGAGAGGTTTGTAGAGAGGGCAGCTCTGAGGTCCCGGGCATTGAAGGGGAAGCGACTAGGTCGTTTTCTGGGGCTTCGACGCTCCATGCATCCGCAGAGGCACTCCCTCCACCTCTAACCTTTCTTTCGACGGGCCTTTTAGGACCGGAAGTCCTTCCTTCCGAGCGCCCAGTGTAGAAGGCGGCCTGACTTTCCTTCCCGGAAGCCCCTCTCCGGCAGCTGGAAAGACAGCCCACCTGCCCGGAAGTCCCGCCTCCTCGAGCGCCCCCACCCTTCCAGAAGTTTTTCTGTCACCTGTGCTTGCCTCCGTCCCCCTTCCCGGGCCTGTCCCTGTACCCGAAAAGGACACGTTTAGTGCCTCCCTCTCTGCCCCACTGAAGGGTTGGCTGCCCCACTCCCGGACCCGGGGTTCCTTCCCCGCGCCCACATGTAGCTGGGAAGCGGGGCCTGGGGGCGATTGGACCCCTGGGATCCTGAAGGAGTGGCGGAGAGGGCGCGCACCTCCGCTTCTGCTCCTGCGGTATACCGGGCCGTGGCCTCCCCCGCCGCTCCCCTCCCGCTGCCATGCACCCCGCGGCCTTCCCGCTTCCTGTGGTTGTGGCCGCCGTGCTGTGGGGAGCGACCCCCACCCGCGGGCTCATCCGAGCGGTGAGTGCGAGGGGCTGGCGGGGGAGGGGTGCTGGGGGCGGGGCTGTAGGCCGGAGGGGAACTTGGACTCTCTCGTGCGCAGACATCGGACCACAATGCCAGCATGGACTTTGCAGACCTGCCAGCGCTCTTTGGGGCTGCCCTGAGCCAAGAAGGACTGCAGGTGACTCTCTTCCCTTTTGTTCGTTTCCCTGCGTCCTCTCTTCTGGGTGGGGGTGGAGGAGCCTCGCCCTTGCGTGACGCTGGGGGCGGGGGGGGAGGCGGCAGGTTAGGAGCTAAGTGCAGAAGCACGTCTAGCGTGGAATTCAGAGTCTGGTGGGAGAAGACAAAGTTTGCTCCTGGAACTCTGAGCCCCTGTGCGGGACACGGAGATAATAAGAGGCGGGGCGAAGCGGTGCTTATCAGCAGGGTCTCCGAGCCACTTGTAGGTTTTATGAGGTTGGGCAAGGTCGGTACGTGTGTGCACCTTGGTTTGTTTCGCCGTAAAATGGGATAAGAGACGTTTTCCCAGGATTACTGTGAGAATGCAGTCAGATAAGCAGCGTTGGGGTATTTCCCGAAGGCTGCCATCCAGCAAGAACTCCATTGGGCCGTAGTTGTCAATATAGTCGTTCGTAAGATGGGTAATTGGAAAATTGAAGGTGGAAAAGAGTCTAAGTGAGGGCCTTTTAAAGGGTCTCACCGCTTTTAGTCAACAGTTTGCGGATTGGGCGGCCTCCCACCTAGCAGATGGTAAGGAGCTCCGAAGAGCTGTACCTAAACTTAAGGCTTTTTTTACAGGCAAGAAAAGGCAGGACACGTAAGTTAGGCTAGCAAAAGAGGTGATTGTGGTAAGATACCTTCCTTAAAGGGAGGGCAGGGGCCCGTCCCCTAGAGGACCTCAGTCCTTCTGACCGGGTAATTCCAGATTGGTGAAGATTCCATTCTTGCGCGGAGGCTTGAAACTCATTCTGTGAGGTATCAAGTTTGGCAGTGTGGGTCCTAGCACAAGTGACTCCATTTTGTGCCTTCGTTATTAACCGAGGGAAGTACATTTTGTAGGCGTATGTGCTGGAAAAGGAAATGTGAAGTGGAGCTTGAGACAAAGGGATGTGTAGGAGTGGAGAATTGGTTTATGAGCTGGGAGGCTGGACGCCGATGGTTTGAATCAGCTCGGAGCGTAGGGTGTAAGCTCATCCGATGCAGGGAGAGAGGTGGGGGGAGATCTGGTCCAGGGATGCTGTTTGATGGACTCGCGTCTTCAGGCGGACTTCTGATGTGGGCGGGGCGCTCCAGCCCCACAGATGAGGAAGTGACGGGCAGAGTATGTGCAGCACAGGGCAGCCAGGGTGCTCGGCGGGCCCCTGTGGTGAGCGGACCCCAAGCAGGTGAACTCCAACCGCCGTTTGCTTCTCTTCCCCAGGGCTTCCTTGTGGAGGCTCACCCGGCCAACGCCTGCAGCCCCATTGCCCCACCGCCCCCAGCCCCGGTCAACGGGTCAGTCTTTATTGCCCTGCTTCGAAGATTCGACTGCAACTTTGACCTCAAGGTTGCTGAATGTGGAGCGGGGCCTGGGAAGTGAGGGTGACGAGAGGCGCCGGCAGTGGAGGGAGGCAGGGGCCTCGAGGGCCCCCTTACCGCCCGCCTCGTCTCCCTAGGTCCTCAATGCTCAGAAGGCGGGTTATGGCGCCGCTGTGGTGCACAACGTGAACTCCAACGAGCTTCTGAACATGGTGTGGAATAGCGGTAAGGCTGGCGGTGTGGGCGGTGGGGCTCAGGTGAGGTGGTGGGGGCGCCGAGAGCTTGGGGAAGACGACGAGCCTGTCCTTTGGGTGGGAGGGAGCCCAAGAGCCAAGTTACCAGGGTCCGCAGGGGACAGGGGTGGAGGACCGGGTCCCCAGTGTGCCGCGCTGTCCCCGCAGAGGAAATCCAGCAGCAGATCTGGATTCCGTCAGTGTTTATCGGGGAGAGGAGCTCCGAGTACCTGCGCGCCCTCTTTGTCTATGAGAAGGGGTAGGATGCACCCCCTTCAACCCTTCCCTGCCACCCTGGAGCCCCCCGCCCACGCCCTTCACATGCTGCCTCTGGACTTTGCCCTCGCGCCTTCCTCATCCGCACGCCTTGTCCTGCGCCCCTCTGTCCCTCTTCCTTTGTCCCTTCGTCTCCGCTGCTTCTCTGATAACCGCCTTGCTTCTCCCAGGGCTCGGGTGCTGCTCGTCCCCGACAACAGCTTCCCTTTGGGCTATTACCTCATCCCTTTTACGGGGGTCGTGGGGCTGCTGGTCTTGGCCATGGGAGCCGTGATGGTGAGTAGCCCGGGGGGCATGGTGGGCAGAGCTGGGGCCTTTAGAGCTGGCCTGGATCTGGGTTGGGGGGCGGCGGTGGCTGCACTGGACTGTCTGGTCTCGTTCCCTGAGTTGGACCCATGCACTCCCCCTCCCCCCAGATAGTCCGTTGTGTCCAGCACCGGAAACGGCTCCAGCGCAACCGACTGACCAAAGAGCAGCTAAAACAGATTCCCACGCATGACTATCAGAAGGGTGAGGGCGCAGTGGGGGCCGGGGTCTCTCCCACAGCCCGCCTGGCTCTGAAGCAGTTCGAGCTCAGGACACCGGGGGCAAAGACGCCGCCTTTCCCTCTCGCTCCCCACGTGCAGGGCGGCCAAGTGGGGGGGGGGGGGGAGCACACAAACTGCTTCTTTGTGCCGCTCCTGGATGGAGGACTGCCCTTGCCTGGAAGGGAGGACGTGAAGAGAGCTGAGAAGTGGAAGGAGTGGGGAGGGGCTGGTGTGGGGAGGAAGGCACAGGTGAGGGGGGGCTGGGTCTCCAGGTCCGGGAGCCTCCAGTGCCCATATAAGGTTGTGGCAGAAGCCCTGCCCCCCCTTCCGCTCCTCCCCCTCCCCGCTCCCCACCCTCACACCTCCGCTCAGAAACCCACTTCCCTTCTTACCTCTGCTTCTCTTTGCTTGTCCCTTCGAGCCCCTGATTGCTCGCGCCCTGCTGTGTCCTCAGCCTGCCCTTCTCAGCTCTGCCCCAGGCCTTGCAAGGCCAGTGCGGAACGGGCGTTCTGGAGGGCCGTGGTCAGGCGTGGCTCGGTGAAAGGACCCCCTTCCTCCCCCCCAGGAGACCAGTATGACGTCTGTGCCATCTGCCTGGACGAGTATGAGGACGGGGACAGGCTGAGGGTGCTCCCCTGTGCTCACGGTGAGGCCCCCACTCCCCGCAGGCCCCCCGGCTTCCCCGCAGGCCCCTGGGGCCTCACCTGCGGGGCCTCACCTCGCGCCCCTCGCAGCCTACCACAGCCGCTGCGTGGACCCGTGGCTCACCCAGACCCGGAAGACCTGCCCCATCTGCAAGCAGCCCGTGCACCGGGGTCCTGGGGACGAGGATCAGGAGGAAGAGACTCCGGGGCAAGAGGGTGATGAAGAAGGGGAGCCAGGGGACCAACCTGCCTCAGAGCGGACCCCGCTTCTGGGCTCCAGCCCCACGCTCCCCACCTCCTTCGGCTCCCTGGCTCCCACCCCCCTAGTCTTCCCCGGGTCTCCGGCAGACCCCCCGTCCTCTCCGTCCTGCTCTTCGGAGGCTGCCTTGCTGGTCTAATACTCCCCCCCCCCCCCACGCCCTCCAGTGACCTATTTGCACAGCCCCTTTTCCTCCCTCGGATCTTCTGTGCTGAGGGACGGGGGACATTTCCAGCCCAGCTTCCTCCCTTGCCCTTCCCCATCCTTTTGAAGGGGTCAGGGTGTAGAGGGACTGGGTCTTCATTTATGGGGTTAATAAAATGTTTTCTGTGAACTGAGGAAGGGTGAGCTCATTGTCACACAGGTGAACTCCTTATATTTGGGGGGAATTGCACCTCCCCCCGGTTTTTTGGGGTGTTTTTTTTTTTTTTTTGCCATAAAGGGGCAGGGGAGTGTCTGGAGAATAACCTGTAGCCATGGGGACAGCCCCAGCAGGCATCTACTGTGACTCAGAGGGGGAGCCCCACCCACACAAGGATGACTCAACTGGCCCTGCCTTGCCCGCAGGCCTGGACCCATTCTCTGGGCCAGACTGGCTCTTTTCCATTATCTCCCAACTCAGCTAGAAAGTGCCACTGTGGAAGGGCTGGGCCACCTGACCAGGTAGGCCAGAGGCAGGTGGTTAGGGCTGGCCCAGACGCCAGGGAGGCTCAAACACCTAGACTTTGTAATGCATCGACCCCCTTCTAACCCGAAGCCAAGATAAAGGAGGCAGGTCACGGGGACAGTCCATCCCGATACCCAGGCCAAACCACACGGCACCTTGTTAGTAGAATCTTTTTTATTCAGAAAAAAAAAAAAAAAACCCAAAAAACAAAAAAGTTTTCCAACCACACACAGGAGGGGTATGGGCAGGGGGAGGTGTCTGTCCATCCAGCCCCAGCCCCCAGCCCATGTGGTTTTGGCAGCAACAAGGGGTGTGGGTAATGGCCCAAAAATAAAAATGGTGCACGTGTGTATGGGAAGGAGGGGGTGCAAAAGCGGTGGGGGGCGGACGAGGTCAGTACTGGGAGCGCCGCAGGTGAGAGGCCATTTCATAACATTTCTTGTTGATCATCCCGCCGTGGACACCTTCCTTGCCCATCAGCAGGACTAGCGCTGGAGGAGAGAGAAAGGAGGCTAGGACCCAGGTGTCCCCATCCCACCCCCGCCAGCTGTTCAGCAGCTGTCCAGCCCTGGGGGCTGTAACCCAACCTCCTCTCTCCCAGCCCCCCCCCACCCCACACACAGGCAGGCTGTCAGTCACCCAGGAACAATAGGGCTTTTCAGGAGGGGGAACTCAAGCTTCAAGCTGGAGAGGAACACGCTAAAATTTAGGGGCCAAGGGCCTGCAGAGCCCAGACTCTGGTTCAGGCGACAAATAACCACAGTTGGCCTGCCACCTCCAGGTCGCAACAAAAGAATTCAAAAGACCGAGATGAGGTGCCAACTTCTGACCCCCTAGTCTGCCTTGTCCGAGAAAACGGGAGTTTCTCCTCCAACACGGCTCAGGGCAGGAAGGAACTTAAGAGGTAACACGGTTCAACTTCTTTATGTTATAAGATGAGGAACTGAGACCCAGCTGGAGGAACTATCCAGCGTCCCAGCATCCAGCAGCCTGGGGCTGTCCCTCCGCACTGGGGGAACCGCACAGAAGAACCCAGAAGACCACGAGGAGGTACACTGGGGATGGATCCCGGAGCTGGAGAGAAGATTAAAAGTCAGAAACTCACTCTTGGCAGTCATGGTGACAGTGATGTTGAAGGTGGGCGCGCCGCCAGTGCTCTTGGTGCGGAGATCCATGGTGAACTCCCCATCCTGCAGCAGCGAGTCCCGGATAACCGAGCATTTCTGGCCCCCAAGCGTCAGCCCGTTCACGAAAAAACTCGACCGGTCCTTGCCAACCAGGACACCAACCTCAGCTGGCTGGAAAGGGAACAAAGCGCCCCTCAGAGTTAGTACGCTCAAGTTCCCACCCTCTTCTCCAAGGACCCACCTGCCCCCACTTCTAGGGGGGAACCTAAAACCCCTCCCCCACCCCGAAGGAAGGGAATATGTTATCTGCTTTGTGCACATCTATGAAATTCGGAAAAAAAAAACTTAAAAGGGCTGTTGGAAGTTTGTACACAGAAAGATCATGGTCCTCAAAGCCAGAAAATGGTCCCAGGAAAGGGCTACATATTCCTCTGGAAACTCCGATCTGATTTAATACGGAAAGCAAATCCATGAAATAAAGGGCCCAAAATCCAGGGAGAGGAGTGCAGTGGAATGGAATGGGGAGCCTTTGGATGCACAGAACTCTCCTTCAGGAAAAGCAGAAGCTCAGAGGGGAAGGGAGGGGGCGGGCGAAGCAGGAGAGGCAACTTTGCCCTTATTTGGTCAAAGGTTCTGCAGGAGTTGTTAGGGGCCCGGACGCCTGGGTCTCCAAGTGACTTCGGGTTTAGGTCCAGGTATCTGCGCCCCAGGATGAGGAAGCAGAGCCCCGGGGGCCTTCCGGGAAAGTTGGAAAACTTCTGAAGGGAGCCCGGGGCTACACCCGCAGACCCTGCCACCGGGTCTACACACCCCAGGGAACCTTTCTCCCCCCTCCCCCTAACCCCCCAAGCCCCCACATCCGGTCCCCTCCCGCCCGGAAATCCCCTTCCCCCCCTCCCGAACTTCCGCTCCCCCTCCCCACTTCCGGGCAGTGTGGACAGGGGAGGTGGTGATGGGGACAGCGGGAGTCGTCCCTCATTCCTCTGCTCACGCTACCCTACAACTTCTCACGAAGTTCCCCCGCTCCGGGCCCCGCCGGATGGCGGGAAGGGAGGGCGAGGGGACTTCCGGGACGGCCTCCCAGGAATGCGGGGCACGGCGTGCCGACCCGGGGGGGGGGGGGCCGCGCGTGTGGCGGCCTCGCCCTCTCTAACGGAGCCGGGAGGGCGGGGAGCCCCGGGGACCGGCGTGCGACCCAGGCCACGCGCCCGGGGCTCCCTCCCGCGGCGGGAGGAACAAAGGTGGCGGAGCGCGAGCGGCCGCCGGAAGCGGGGCCGGGGGTCCCCAAGCGCCGGGCCGGTCCCCGGCCCCGCCGGAGCCCGCCCCGCCCTAGACGAGGCGGAAGTGGGCCTCGGCACCGGGCGGCGCGCCCCTCCCCGCCCTGTGCCCCGGATGTAACGCCCCGTCGCGGGGAGCGGGGCGGCGGGAGGGCCGGGCGCCGCCGCCCCGGGGCGTAGGGCTCGGGGGCAACCGAGGGCCCGCTCACGTGCAGCCGCCATCGGCGCCCCGTCAGGGGCCAGGACCCGGTGGCGGCCCTGCGCCGCCCTCCCCGGACCGCGCCCGCCCCCACCCCAGTCCCTTCCTCCGGGTCCGCGCCGGCCGCTGCCCCGGGGCGCGCGGGCCTCGCACTACCGTGATGTTGACGAAGGTCTTCCCGGGGACGGCGGCCCAGACGGAGGGCGAGTCCTTGTAGCCCACGATGGCCGCGTCCTGACAGGTCCCGTCCGCCATGAGGTTGTCGATGTAGGCGTTCCACCCGGCCATGGCGCTGCTGCTGGGGCTGCTCTGGGCGCTGCTGCTGGGGCCGCGGGCTGAGCTCGGGGGCCTCGGGCTGGCGGGCGGGGGGAGGCGGAGAGCTCGGGGCACGCGCTGCCGTCCGGACCGCGGCTCTGCTCGCTGTGCAGCAGCCCTCGCACCGCCACTTCCTGCTCCTCCCCCCCCCTTAGATTTTTATTTGCAAAGGGCGGCAGGGGCGGGGCCTGCTCCCCGTTCCCTCCCTCCCCCCGTCTCCTGCCCAGAGACCGAACTTTGCAAATGCAATTTTAAAAATCCCTCCCCCTATTGCAAAATGTGCAGAGTTGGGGAGAAAGCTATGTAAAAGGATTGGGGGGTGGGGGCGGGGGCGGTGGTCAGGGAGGGGTTAGGGTTCGGGCTCGCTCCACTTCGCCTGGAATATAAAGCGGACTTTGGTGTCGGGGAAGGGAGTGAGCCCGAGGGTGGAAGGAAAGTGAAAGGGAGAATCGGCGAGCTGCGAACTGGGCGCCGCGAGGAGGGTGCGGGGCGCTCGGGGTTAAACGGCACGGCTCCCCCCTCCCCCACCTCCGCCGGAGGGCAGGAGCGGCGGCGGCGGCGGCGCGTGCGCCCGCGCCTGCGCGGGGCCCGGCCGGGCGGGAGGGCGCGGGGCGGCTGCGGCCCCGCGGAGGCAGGCGGGCCGGAGGGTCCCCCCGCTCCGCCCGGCAGCAGGCAGCGGCGGCGCGCGGGAGCCCGGAGGGATGTGACGGAACACCCCGGCCGTCTTCGGAGCTGAAGGCATCGCGGCGGGGACACGCGTGTGCCCAGCACCAGCCCGAGCGGCACGAGCCGGGCTCCCGGCGGTGACCCTCGCGGGGTCCGCTCCGGCGCCAGGCCCCCCTCGCACACTCCGCCCCCCGGCCCAGCACCTCGCGCCCCCGGCCGCGCCGCCGAGGTCACCGTGCGCGGGACGGGGGGGCGGGACTACTTTTCAGGGCGGAAGAGTACCGGGAGGCCCCCAGCCTTGCAACTTTTTCAATGAGGGGAAAGTCCCTCTCCGTTTGGGCCCCTTGGGTTTTTTCCTAATTTTCGGTAAAAGTTCGCCTGAGAACTTGAGTGCGGCGGGCGCGCCCCGCGCTGGGCGATGGGCAGGGCCCCGCGGCGGCTCAGGCTGGGCGGCCCCGCGCGCGCCGGCCGCCGAGGGGCTGGGCCGCTTCCGGCGCCGGGGGAGGGGCGGCCGCTGGTCCTGCCCGGCCTGGGGCGCGCGGCCGCCGCGAGCCCCCGGCACCGACGCCCCCCCCCCCCAGCCCGTTCCTCGACAGTCGCGCGCCTGAGTCACCGGGCCGCTCGGGCGGGGCCGGCGCGCGGGCACGTGGCGGCGCTCCCCGCCCGNCCTCGACAGTCGCGCGCCTGAGTCACCGGGCCGCTCGGGCGGGGCCGGCGCGCGGGCACGTGGCGGCGCTCCCCGCCCGCCGCCTCCCGACCTCTGCCCCGCCGCACCCCCGACCCCGGGCGGGAAAAAGTCTCGGGAGGGCGCGGCCGGGCGTGGGGGGAGGGGCGGGGGCGCGCCCCGGAGGACACCCCCCTCCCCGCCGGGGCCGCCCGCCCTCCCGCCATTCATCTCGTGCACTCCCGATTAACATCATTCACTGGCCGGCGGGGGCCGCGCCCCGAAGCGCCCGAGGTCGGCCGGGAGAGGGGCTCCCCGTCTGCCAGTCTCCACGCAGGGCGACAAGTGCTGTCCCAGCGCTATCACTGGGGAGCCGAGCCAACGCTGGGGGCCCGTCTAAATTCGTCTCCCCGCCCCTCCCCCACCCCCTGCCGGGCCCAGAGCGGAGAGGGTGGGGTGGGGCCCAGAGCGGCCGCGATGAGGACCCTCAGAGGTGAGACCCTCTCGCCTGCCGAATGTTCAGAGCCCCGAGCGTGCCCGGACCCGAGGGGCAGAGGCGCCGGGGCTGCCCAGTGAGCCGAGCCGCGTGTGGGGACGTCCGTCCTGCAGCCCCCCCTCCAGGCCCCCTCCCCAGCCCTGCGCGGCTCAGGTTACGCCTGGCCTTTGCTAAAGGGCACTGGTTCCTCTTTAACCTTTGCAAAATGGGAATGTAGTCCTGGGGAGGAGAGAGACCCCCCACCTGACGCCGCTCCCCGGAGCTGGAGTTAGGAGTAGGGGCTTGTATTGGGGGGTACGGAGGAGGGGGGTTAGTCATCGACCTTTGGGAAGGGAGCAGGTGCCCAGGGCCAAAGGCTTCTGCTTTAGGCTGTAGTGGGCACTTGGCCGGCACCCCACTGCGGAGGGGGGGGACGGCGAGGGAGAGAGGGGCGGGGCTGGCCGGGGCACAGGGTGCCTGGGGATAAATGCCCAGCCCGAGAGGGGGTGAGCTGACACCGTCCCAGCTGCCATCCAGACTCGGAGCGCACCCCAGACCCCCAGCCGAGACGTCTCAGGTCTGGTGATTCTTGCAGTCCCAGAGGATGGGGGGTGGCGAAGGGGGAGCGTGGTGCCTTTTGGAGAAAGGGGGGACCGTGTCAGCCAGTTCTTCCTCCTGGGACCCCCGGGTGCTGGAGAGGATCGGAAGGGTTGGAGGAGGCAGGACCGGGGTGCCCAGGACCGGGGACGACACCGTGAAGACTGAAGAGAGGCAGGCGGAGGTGGATTGCGAAGGGGAGTGAGAGCCGGGGCCAGGTGGGGAATTTGGGGTCCCTGCGGATTTCGGAGGTGCAGGAAGATGCGAATGACCATAGCAGGAGCGGGTCTGAGGGCCAGCGGCCTGGGGAGCACGGTGCTTGAGCAGAAGGCTGAGGGAGCAGGCCTCGGTGCAGCTTTGCGGGGGACAGCTGTGGGGGACGAGGGTCCAGGCTGCCCCAATCCAAGCAGTTCCAGGAGGGGCCCCTGGGTTCCCAGGTTGGGGGTGGAATAGGAGCTGTGCTGAGTGGGGGAGGGGGCTGGCCGCGCCTCTTCACTCTGTGACCTTTTTGTGGGATATTTTTAGCTCCAGCACCTGCCTTCTTGGGGTGGGGAAGATTCTTAAAGGGCAAGGGATTTCGGGCTCCTTGAGGGATCCACTGTCCACACTCAGTCGCGCCTCCTGTCCTGCAGCCATGGCCATGCAGAAGATCTTTGCCCGGGAAATCCTGGACTCCAGGGGCAACCCCACAGTAGAGGTGGACCTGCACACGGCCAAGGGTAACACAGGCCCCCAGACGTGCTTCGCCTTGGAAGACCCCGGCCCCAGTGGGCTCTGCCCCCGAGTCACCGTCCCCTCTCTGTGGGATCCCCTTCCCCAGGACTTCGTCCCAGGCCTGTCTCCCAGCCTGGCTCCCTGGCGGGGAGAAGCGGGAGCCTCCCCCTGCACTGCCCCCTGTCCCTGGGCTCAGAGAAGACATCTTGGCCCCTTGGGTGTGGCTGGGACCTCGAGTGACCTTCCCGTTCAACCCGCCCAGGCCGATTCCGAGCAGCTGTGCCCAGCGGAGCGTCCACGGGCATCTATGAAGCCCTGGAACTGAGAGATGGAGACAAGTCCCGCTACCTGGGGAAAGGTAAGGGCGGCCAATCGCCCTGGCGCCTGTTGTCCGGGGTGGTGTCAGGACATGGGTGGATGACGCACTGGGGGGCGGGGGGGGGGTAGAGCGCTGGACCCCGCAGGAAGAGGCCTGCTGGCGTCGTCAGAGATCCGAACCCCTCCTCCGGCCTGTCTAGGGGTCCTGAAGGCTGTGGAACACATCAACAAGACCCTAGGCCCCGCTCTGCTGGAAAAGGCAAGACAGCCCCTGCTCCCCCCACCGCCCCCTGAGGCCTCACCCCAAGCCGCTCCTGCTTGGGAGGGGCCCTGCTTGGCCGGCCTGTCCACCCTGAGTGCCTGCACTGCCTCCTACACGTGACCTGTGTTCTCCCTTCCCTGACCTTTCCTTCTAGAAACTAAGCGTTGTGGATCAAGAAAAAGTTGACAAATTTATGATCGAGCTGGATGGGACGGAGAATAAGTGTGAGTGAAGTGGCGGTGGGGGGGGGGGGAAGGGAAGGGGCGGGAGAGGCGTGGGAGAGACCCCGGGACTGAGGTCGGCTTAGGCTGATCTCCGCGTGGCACGTTTCGGGGCCACACCGTGGCGGGATGGATCTTTATTCACTGCACAGGCATTTCCTGACGCCTGCCCTCTGCCGGGCCCGGCGGCCCTGAGGCGGACACATTGCCCTGGGGTGGGGGCTCCCAGGGCGCCTCGGGGAGAGATCTGTTAACCGGCTCCTGATGCCCGGTGGGGTGGGGTTCTGGATTCTTCCTGGGGTGACCCGGACGCTGGGGGAGAAGCTCTCACTCTCTCTCTTTGCGCACGCCTCCTCTAGCCAAGTTTGGGGCCAATGCCATCCTGGGCATATCCCTGGCCGTGTGCAAGGCCGGCGCGGCAGAGAAGGGGGTCCCGCTCTACCGGCACATCGCAGACCTCGCCGGGAACCCGGACTTGGTCCTCCCCGTGCCCGTGAGTGCGGCTGCCCTCGCCGGACGCCACAGCGGCTGAGCCGCCGCACCCGGGGAGGAGGAGGGCGTGAGCTGCCCCGGGCAAGGCTACCTTCCAGACCCAGCTCCGGGGAACCCGTTTCCTGCGGCGGCCGGGCCGGCTCCAGCCGCCGCCCAGCCCCTCCCTCCTTCCCACAGTCCAAGCCTTCCCTTAAGCCTCGGCTGCCTTCCCTTGACTAACCCTGGGCCTTCGCATTCCAGCGCTAGACCCGGTGCGGGCCCCGGCCCCGGCGCAGATCCCACGCTTCCTCATGGCGAGGATCTTGGCGTTTCTTTCTGTCTCCGATAATCCTTCTTAAACCCAATTTCCTGTTGATGGAAACCATATGAACATTATCTCACTTATCTCACTAATAACGTACCACTTATCACTAATTAACGAGGCAGCTTATAGAAGAGCGGGAGCTCTGGAGACGAGCCGCTAGGTTTCTGCCTGTTCACTAGCTATGTGGTCTTAGGCGAGTGTATTTCACCTCTCTCTGCCTCACTTTCGCCATCTGTAAAATGGGTGATGATAAGCGCCTAGTTGATAGGGCTGCTGTGAGCATGAAGTGAGCTCACAGAACACGTGGAGCACTGGCCTGGGGTAAGCACCACGCCAGCGTCACTAACTGTCACACGGCAGCCACACGCTAAGAACGTCACACTCCGCTTCTGTAATTTTTGGCGCGTGACCCTGCAGGGAAGCTGTGGCATCCCTGTCCCACGGCAGTGAGGAAAGAGACTCCGAGGCGCAAAAGTACTCGCCCCTAGACCGTTCAACTGGTAATCGGACACTAGGATTCTCGTTCCTTCTAGATCCCTGCCAGCCCCCGGCCCAGGTCTGAGCTCCCCCTCCCCCTCACAGGCCTTCAATGTGATCAACGGGGGCTCCCACGCCGGAAACAAGCTGGCCATGCAGGAGTTCATGATCCTGCCCGTGGGAGCCAGCTCCTTCAAGGAGGCCATGCGCATCGGCGCCGAGGTCTACCACCACCTCAAGGGCGTCATCAAGGCCAAGTATGGGAAGGATGCCACCAACGTGGGCGACGAAGGCGGCTTCGCACCCAACATCCTAGAGAACAATGAGGGTCAGTGTGGGCTCCGAGGGACATGACCCTACGTCCCCACGGAGGAGGGGGCTGCAGAGACGGGGCGCCCGGAGCCTCAGGCGCTCTCTTGCCCCTCCCCCAGCCCTGGAGCTGCTGAAGACGGCCATCCAGGCAGCTGGCTACCCAGACAAGGTGGTGATCGGCATGGACGTGGCAGCGTCTGAGTTCTATCGTAACGGGAAGTACGATCTCGACTTCAAGTCCCCCGATGACCCCGCACGGCACATCACCGGGGAGAAGCTGGGGGAGCTGTACAAGAATTTCATCAAGAACTATCCCGGTAAGCCCCCCATGCGTCCCGCGGGCCCCGCCCAAGCCCCTGGCCGCTGCTGCCGTCCTGAGCCCCGTGAGGTCCCCTTCCAAACTCCTCGGATCTTCACCCAGACTCTTCCCCCATCCCCTTCCAGTGGTCTCCATCGAGGACCCCTTTGACCAGGATGACTGGGCCACCTGGACCTCATTCCTCTCGGGGGTTAACATCCAGATCGTGGGCGACGACCTCACAGTCACCAACCCCAAGAGGATTGCCCAGGCCGTCGAGAAGAAAGCCTGCAACTGCCTGCTGCTGAAGGTCAACCAGATCGGCTCCGTGACCGAGTCCATCCAGGCGTGAGTGGCTCCCCGCCGCGGCCTCCCTCCCTCCCTCCGCCCCAGCTCTGCCTGGCCAGCCGAGTCTCACTTCCCTGGGTCCTGCCCCAGCCCCGCCCTCCTGACCCCACATCTTTGCCCAGGTGATCCCACCGTGCCCCGCCCCCACCCAGATCCTGCCCTCCTTCCCCCCACCATGTGCAGGGCCTGGGTTCAGAATCTAGAATCGCCCCTTTTCTCCTTCCCCGAGAACTTAGTCATTCCCCTCCCTGCGAAGGGGCCCCCCTCCCCCAGATGGAAGGGAGAAGTCCCACCAGCCCTGGGCTTTCCCTTTGAGGCCCCGGTCAGTCGGCCTTATCGGGTGTCCTCTGTGCCCAGCTGCAAACTGGCCCAGTCTAACGGCTGGGGGGTGATGGTGAGCCACCGCTCCGGGGAGACCGAGGACACCTTCATCGCTGACCTCGTGGTGGGGCTCTGCACGGGACAGGTACTCACGGCCCCCGAGGGTCTGACCGAGTTTCCTGGGGGGCCTGGGGTCCCACTCCTGGGTTGGACGCCCCACAGGGAGCTCCGTCGGGGCCTGGCCAGATCTCGCTTCTCCGGCCTCACACGGTCTTCCACATTCCCCTTTCTTCCTCAGATCAAGACCGGTGCCCCCTGCCGCTCGGAGCGCCTGGCCAAGTACAACCAGCTCATGAGGTACGGGCTGCAGCGGGGGCTGGCCGTGGGGAGCGGGCGGCCGGGCGTAGGGAGGCACAGCCCTGACTCCACCTGCCTTCTAGGATCGAGGAGGCTCTTGGGGACAAGGCTGTCTTTGCCGGACGTAAGTTCCGTAACCCGAAGGCCAAGTGAGCAGCTGGAGGCCCTGAGACACCATGAGACCCCACGGGACAGACCTAGGCCTGCAAGCCGCTCCCTGGGAAATAAACACTGGTGCCAACCTAGCCGCCGTGTGGTCCTTGTGGGAGCCGGCAGACGCTGGTCTCTGGGCGGATGGGTGGGGCGGGAAGGGAAGGACAGATGTGGGACCTTGCGGGACCCGGCAGGAGACGAGGCTGGGGAAGCCGGTGCCGTGGACGCAGCGGGAGAGGCGCTGGAGGACTGTGGAGCCGTGGGAGGGGACCGTGGGGTGGGGACCGAGCCTCTGCGGCACCCCTAGGCGCCCCTGGGGAGGCCACGTAGCATCCGCCCGCCAGCGGAAGCCCACAGGTGCGCGGCAGCCCAAGTAAGACCCAAGTGTGCACGCTCCTCGGGACGGGCAAGTTCTCGGGGGCGAGAGCGTGAACACTCTGCAAGTCCTCTTCCGTGTCCCCGCAGGAGCGCCAGCATCGGGCCGTCCTCGCTCTACACAAACAGCAGTTTCATCCCCTTCAACCTAAAATTCCCTCCGTCCCCAGGACCTGCCCCTCCCCATTCAGACAGACAAGACCGTGGGTCAAACAGTGTTTATTGAACGTAAAGTAATCCCAGCCTCGTGGGGAAGAAAATTCCAAGGAGAAAGGAGAATAATACACGTTAAATACCCACCTGCGCATTCACACTCGCACGCACACACGCACACACCCCGCTCGGGTATCCAAGCTCCGACGTGACACGCCAAGCACCCGCCTCCCCGCCCGGGGCCGGTGACCCGGTGACCGCGGATGGGAGGCGGGCAGAGGTGGGGCTCCAGGATGGGTTGTGATAGCAGCAGCCTGTCCCCCGCTGTCCCCGGCCCGCCCCGGTGGCTGGGGCGCCTAGGACGTCGGCGGCAGCTCCTCCCCGCTCTGCCGCAGGCGCTTCTTGGCCCGGATCTCGTTCATGGCCTCCTCGATGGAGCGCGTGTCCCTCTTGTTGGCCACGGGCACTGGGGGCGAGGAGGGCGGGAGTCCGGTATCACAGCCTCTCCCCTGCCTCCCCCCGCCGCCCCCTTCCCCCCCCCCGCGCCGCGCCTCACCACAGCCGTAGGTCTTGTTGGCCTGCAGCATGTGGGCCGCGTCCTTGGCCGCCCCCTTGCCGATGAGGTGGCTGTACTTGTCTTTGTAGTCGCTGGCGGGGCTCACCACCACGGGGCCCTGCTGGGCTGCCTCCTCCTCCTGCCGCTGGGCCAGCTCCTGGGGGTGCAGAGGGAGGCCCGCGCTCAGCGGCCCCGACTCGGGGTGCCGGGCTCCGGGGCCGCCCGGGCTGCTCACCTTCAGCTTGCGCTTCTCCTCGGCCTTCTGGGGGTCCCACTCCTCGCCGCGGCGGTAGGACTCCAGCTCGTCATCCGAGGGCGCAAACTCCTGGGGACAAGGGAGTGCTGGGGTCAGGGGTCCACACGCACCCCAGGCCTCTCCCCTCGGCGGGGGCGGGGGGGGCACAGGCCGGAGGTGAGAGATGGGGGAGTACGGAGCTCGGGCCTTTCACCTTCTTGAAGATCATGACGTAGCGACACTCATCATCTTCTCCGAAGGAGAAGGACGTCAGGCCGGCCACCTCCACCACATCGTGTCTGGGAAGGAAGGGCGGGGGGGAGAGTGTACGGCGCCGCGGAGGGGGGGGCACCCCCTCCTCGAGGCTCCCCGCGGGCCCTCCCCTACCCGGCCGCCCAGCCCCGCAACACTCACAGGATGCTCCTCTCGACCTTGTTCATCGGCTGAAACTTTTTCTTGATCTGCCCGCTGTCTTGGATGAAATCGGACACCTCTTTCTCCATCTTGGGAGAAGGAAAAGGAAGGCCTGGGAGGGCCGCTCGGCCCCAGCAGCCTCTCCCGACTGGGGCCTCCCCACACCTCTCCCGGCCTCCCTCCCGACACGGGCTTGCAGGGGCCTCACTGGAGATGTCCTGGGGACCGCAGCGCTCAGCCCTCCAGCGCTAACTTCCGGGAAGTCCTCCCGGAGGCTGCCCGCGACCCCTCCCGCTGTCCTCACCCTTTTACGAAACTCCACTTTCTGCTGTTTCTCTTGCTCCTGGAGTTTCTTCAGGCGGGCAGCCTGCTCTGGAGGGGGAGACGGTGGCGTGAGGCCGGGGCGGAAGCGCAGGTGGGGAGGGCTCGTCAGGCTGCAAGGGGGCCCCGTGCCCGATGGGAGAGAGGGGTGGGGGGGCGGCTACCCAAGCGTCGGTTCGGACGTGTACCCGGCGCCGCGCTAGGCCCCGAGGCACAGAGACGGACCGAGCTGCGGCCCCCAGGAGCCCGCAGTGACCGGGAGCAGCAGAGACTGGATCGTGCTTGGGCCCCATTTCCCAACCCCACTGGGGAACCCGATTAAATGTATTTCACGCCCATGACACACGAGGAACCCAGATAGCCAGGGAGGTCAGGAGAGCGCAGTCGGCCCTGGCCTCCGACAGCTTCCTGTCCCAGCATCTATGCAAGAAAGGGGAAATTATTTAACTTCCTATATTTTGTGACACCCCCACTTCTCACTTCTATGGACAGGATGACGCTGGAGGGACAGACCCCCTCCTCCTTTGGGAGCGCAGGTGTCCCAGGTGAGCTGCGAAGGAGCTCCCCCAGCTCAGGTCTCGGTGCCTCCGCCCCTCTCCGGCCGCCTCAAGTCCTTCATGTCCTCAACACCACTTCCTTGGATCCAAATCCCTATAGCTGCCCGAACCGCCCCCCACTTGCCTGAGCACCCCAGGCCTTTGCACCTGCGGCTCCCTGCTTCAAGTGCTTCTCCGCCTCTTGCACACTGAGACCCACCGTGAGTCACAGTCTGACTTCCTCTGGGCCGAAAGCACATTTGGTTCAGACACCCGCCGGAGCACGTGCTGGGAACCCACATAACATAAATGTGTATTTGCCCCACCAGACTCTGGGCTGCTGGGGGGCAGGGGCCCTCATCTCCCGTCCTGTTAGCCTCCGTGGCCCCAGCGCCTGCCAGCTGAGGGCTCTCCTTTCTCTCATACCAGGGGCTTTCTCATCAGGGCATCTTATCTTCACCACTGAAGCTCTGTAATTGGTCTGTGAGTCTTCCCTCTGCATCCGAGGAAGTGGTGTAAGATTAAGGTTAAGAACGTTGGCCAAGGGGCACCTGCGGGCAGCTCAGCCAGTGGAAGCACGCAACTCTTGACCTTGGGGTTGTGGGTTCGAGCCCCAAGTTGGGTGTGATTACTTAAAAATAGATATCTGAGGTGCCTGTTGGTTAAGCCACAGACTTCGGCCCAGGTCACAATCTTAGTTTGTTGAGTTCCAGCCTGCACTGGGCCCTGTGCTGACAGCTCGGAGCCTGGAGCCTGTTCGGATTCTGCGTCTCCCTCTCTCTCTCTCTCAGAAATAAGTTAAAAAAAAAAAAAAAGTCGGAAAAAAAATAGTGAGTAGGCATAAGACTCACAGCCGGGTTTAAAGCCCTGCCACTTAGTAACCCTGTGACCTCAGGCGAGCGCCTGCACTCTGTACATCAGCTTCCTGGTCCACCAACCGCCACCCCTGAGCCCCGCCTAGGCAGTCAGGGCGAGCACGAATTCCAGGCCCAGTTCGCACACGTCCCCGGCTTCCTCCGAGCTCTGTCCGCTCACTGCACACCGGGTCAGGGCCCCTGGGTCATTGCCCTCGTGACAATTACTTTGCAAGGTGGCCACCAAACTGCGGGGTGAACATTTCCTGCACGCGACCGTCCGCCGGGCTCGCGGCCCCCGCCCGAGCCCGCCCGCAGGGAGCCGCTCGGGGGCCGGGGCGTCCCCGTTCCTCCGGTCACTAGCTCGATCCGCCGGCAGCCGGGGACCGGGAGGCTGACCTCGAGGGAGGAGCGGCGGGGACACGGCAGGGACCGGGTTAAACCAGGTGCGCGGAGGGGGGGGAGGGCGCAAAGCACCCGAAAGACCCGGCCGCCAATCGGCGGCGCTGGGGGTGGGGTGGGCCCGAAGAGGGTGGGACAAGACTTCGTGGGCAGGGCTCTAACTGGAGGTGGCCAATAGAGGCCAAGGGGTGGCGGACGGGCGTGCCCAGGACCCAATCCGAATGCGGCTGGGGTGCGGGACTCGCAGGCCGGACACGCCCCCTCCAAACGCGGGCGGGCCGGGGCGGGAAGGCGAGCCAGCCAATCGGAGGACGACAGCGGCGGACGGGCGGGTCCGCCGGCGAATTGGAAACAAGGACTGCGGAAGGCCAGTAGGGAAGAGGCGGGAGGCGGCGCTGGGCTTGAGATAGCCAATCACCGCCCGCTAAGAAGAGCGGGCGGGCCGGCAGCCCTTTTAGGGACTCTGGGGGTCTCCGTAGGGGCCTGTGTGGGGGTCTTTCAAGGCTGAGGAGGCGGTAGCATCCGAAGGGGGAAGAGTGCGGTCCTGGGAACCGGGCGAAGAAAGGCGGTTGCGGATTTGGGGTCCTCACCTCGGGCCTTGCGCCGAGACTCCTGGTCCCCGAGGCTGGGTGGCTTCTCCATGGAGCTCAGGATGGAGCCCAGTAGGTCCGCCATCTTGGGAGTGACTGAGAAGGGGCGGTGCGTCTTAAAGGGAAGGGCGAAATGCCTTTAAGGCCGGAAACACGTCGGAGGCGGAGAGCCCCGCGCCGGGCGCGCCCCGCCCGCAGCCGCCCGCCGCCGAGGCTCCGCCCGCCCGCGCGGCGCAGACAGAGGCGGGAGGCCGGATGGTGCAGCGATGTTTAATGGCAACTCGTAGAAATCAAGCCCATGCACAAGTAGAAAGTGCTCGTGGCGCCGGCCGGGGGCCCCCGCCGCGCCGCCGTCCCCGCGGCGCCGTAAATAGACTCTTCACTCTGCTCTGTATGTTACAGTATGTACAGGCCCCTCCCCTCGGGGGCGGGGCGGGGCGGGGACGCGCGCCGGCATGCGGACTCGGGCGGGGGCGCGCGGCGGGGGCGGGGCCGAGGCGGATACATTCAGAGACGCGTCCAACAAATAAATAAGGCCAGTCGGGAGGGGGCCGGGGCGGGTGCAGGCAGCGGGGAGGCGTGGAGCTGGGGCAGGCGGGGCTCCGGGGGTCGCGGCTGAAGATGCGGGGAGGTGGGCCCGGGGAGCCGGCGTGATGGGGGGGTGGGGCGAGAGACGGGGCGCGCCCCAGCGGGGAGAGGCGGGTCGGCCGGGGTCCCGGGAGGGCTCCGGCCGCGACCAGCGGGACAGCGGCCGACGGGGGCGCCCCTGCCGCCGAGGGCCCGGCCCCGGTTAAGACTGCCAGAAGCGGCCCCCGGGGCGGCGAGGAAGGCGGCGCAGCGATCAGGTGGCCAGGCCGGGCTGGGGGAGCCCTTCCAGCTCCCGGTTCTGCTTCAGCTCCCTCATCCTGCAGGGAGACGGGGAAGGGGTCAGGACGCGGGGCGGTGGAGGTGGCCGCGGGGAGCCGGTGGCCCGGGACGCGGGTACCTGTGCCGGCAGCGCCGCAGGAATCTCATGATCTTCCGCGCTGCCTGGTCCTGCTTCTTGGTGAGAAAGGAGCCCCTGCTGGAAGGAAGGAGCGATGAGCAGACGTGGCCCGCCGGCGCGCCCCGCCCCCGGCCCCCGGCAGGGGAAGGCGGGGAGGGGGCCCGGGGCCCGACCTGGTGCGGGCGGGCAGGCTGCCCGCGGGCCGGCGGCGGTACGAGCGGTAGTGCTGCTGGATGAGCACGGCTGCCCGGCGGCTCTGCTGAAACCGCTTCTGCTCGTAGTAGCTCCGGAACTTGCTCTGGATCAGGATGGCCGCCTGGGTCATCTTCTTGTAGAGCGCAAACTGCAGGGACGGGGAGCGGGGACAGGGGCTGGGGTGGGGGGACAGAGTCCCAGCGCCCTGAGGGTCACCCCCGAGTTCGGTGGGTGCTGGTCTCTAATCCACGCGCTCGTGGAGAGGCCGCCTCGTCTCCGACAAGCACACCCAGACCTCATGCCTAATACCTTGAGCGCGATCCAGGTCAGCTTGTGGAGAGAGAAGCGGGTTAGGGCCCCAGCAGCACTGCAGTGCTCCGGGCCGCGGTGGGGGTGCGTTCGCGGCGGTGGGGGGCGCCCTCTGGGGAGAAGGTGCTCACCTGCTTGTACTTCCGGTAGCAGCGCTGGATCACTGCGGCCGCCACCTCCTGCTGCTCCTTCAGCCTCCGGCCCTGCCAGATGCAAGTCTCAGACCTCCAGCCTGGGGCCCGCCGGTCCCCGGACTCGGGCTGCTGTGATTCATCTCCTGGGACCCCAGGGGCTCTGACCTTGTACTTCCGGAAGGCCGTCTGGATGACACGAGCCGCCTCGTACAGCTCCCGCTGCTCGTGATCGGACAGCGTCAGGAGGGCAAAGTCGCTCTCCATCTTGCCGCTGGCAGAAGCCGACAGAAACTCTGCCCAGGAAGGGGCAGGAGGGACGGCCAGGCGACCACGCTCAAAGGGCAGTTCGCTGCAGGGACAGGGAGAGGGGTGTCGTGGGGCACTGGGGCCCACTGTGACACGTGTCCAGCCGCAGAGCCTGAGGAGGACTCGAGAGCTCCTCAGCCAGCACCCGTCCCTTCCTCAGGGGCCGGGGTCCGGGCCACAATGGAGCCCCGGCTCCGGGGAAGGACCTCCCCGCTCCCGGCTCGCCTTGACGGATCGGTGTCCTGAGGCGGTCACCTGGGTGGGGCTGAGCTGGGGAAATGGTCCACGTTCTCCAGGTAGCTGGCCAGCCAGGACATGGTCTCGCTGAGCCCCAGGGCCCCTGTCCGCTCCCTCATTGGCGCTCCGGCCGCGGGCAGCCCCACGAAGTCCTCTCGTTTAATCCGCTCCGGTGTGGCCTCGATGATCTGCTTGGCCAGTGAGATCATGTCCACCTGCACAGAGAGAGGCTCAGTGAGTCCGGAGCGGCTCCAGCCACCAGGTGGTCCTGCCGCACCAAAGCTGCCACCATCGTCCCCTGCTGTCTTGTCGCTCCTCTCACCACCAGACAGGGCTCAGGGATGGCTGTCCCTGCTCCCCCGTTCTCATCAGCCACCGTTTAGGATTCTTCCCTTTGTGCCCGCCAGGCCCCCCCCCCCCCCAGGCCTGTGGCCCTTTCTGTCCAGACGTTGTGAAAAACAGGACAGGAAGGACCCACTCTGAACGGGCTTGCACGAGCAGAGCAAACGAAGGACTCGCCCCTCCGGGCTGAGTGCCCCCTGGCCCCCCTGCCCCGCGCCAAAAGACCAGCGCGTGCTCCCCACAGGCTCGGCCGTGCCCGCAGCCTCCGGCTCCCTGAGCTCGGTGCCTGCCACCTGCTGGACACACCGGTCAGATGGCTCCAGCTGTGAGGTCAGCATGTTGCCAACGTGGCCTAAGTGTTTAGTGCTTCTGATACTAACTACACAGTGAGTCCATTGATCTCCAGCGCGGGTACCTCCCCAGGTTTTAGCAGAGGAGCGTGCTGCTAGGCTCAGAGATTCACTCCTCTATACACTCCCTCAAGTCTTGCTTCACTTTTACCCTGTGCAAGCCTCCCTCCCTCCCCAGACCGCTGCCAGCCCCCCCAGCTCGTCAGCCTCCGCCCCACACAGCGCCCGCTTCCCTCCATCAGGCCAGTTCCCCAGAAACCTTGGCTCTGCATGGGCTCAGCAGGTAACCCCTCAGCCCAGCTCCAGCTACGGCTGTGCTCTAGAATTTTCGACCTCTGATGCCTTGTGACTTCTGAGTCACCTGTCCCAAAATAAGGGTACACAGCCCAAACTGAAGCCAGACTCAGATTCTGCTTCAGGGGATGATCAGCATCTGTGCGGCCTGGCCCCCCCCACCTGGCGCCGTTTCTAGCCTTTATGGTCCGTCCGCACGAGCACGAGCAGTATACCGGGATCACGTCCACGGCCGCTGGGCCGTCTGCTTCCTCAGGAGCATCCCCCACTTCGGAGGCTGGTGGGAGAGGAGGCGGTGAGGGCGCTGGCCCTTGGGGGTTGGTGGCTTCACAGTCCATGAGGAATAGGGAGGCCTCAGGGCCCCCAGTGGAGAGCTGGCCCGGGCCAGTCTCTTCCATCGGCATCTCTGAGGCCGGCAGAGGAGCGGGGGGAGGGCTGCCGTCCGGGGCGCTCGAGTAGGCTGATGTGACAGAGAACGTGCCATCTGACAGCTCTGAGGGCGAGGAGACCCCGCTCAGGCCTGCAAGGGACCAGGGAGAGGCAAGGGCAGCAGGTGTTCCGGGGCCCGTCTCAGACTTCTTCCCGCTCCTCTCCCCCCTTGCCTGCCCTTCCTCGCTCTGTCTCCCCCCAAACCCGCAGTCTCCTCTGAGGTTGGGGGTGGCCCTCACCAGTGTCTGGGCTGGAGGAGGGGGGCGACAGGGCGGGTGGGGGCTCTGCCGAAGCTTCCTGTCTTTGCAGCTCCTCCAGGCAGCGGGCCAGGCGCACGTGGCCCCGGGACTGCGCCACGGACAGGGGCAGGCGGCCCAGAGAGTCCGGGATGCCCAGCGCCCGTCTGTTCCAGCGGAAGAGGAGCACGGCGGCCTCCAGGTGCCCCAGGGCGCAGGCCCACATCTGACAGGGTGGAGAGGGCGGGCGTGAGGCCCGGGCCTTCGGGTCCCAGCTCCGCCTGCCCCTTCCCCGCGGCCCGCCGCCCCTGCGCGCTCACCAGAGGGGTGCAAGAGAAGTGGTCCACGTTGAGCGGGTCAGCCTCTTGCTCTAAGTCCAGGCTCCCTGTCCCCACGCTCCTGGAGGGTTGGGGACAGGGACAGGAGCCCAGTCAGGGTAAGAGCAGGCACAGCAGGAACATCAGAATCGAGGGGCCGGTGGGGAGGCCGGGGGACAGGCCGTCTAGAAGCACTGAGGTTGGTGCGGCAAGGCCGCGGGAGGCACATGTGGGGGGTGGAGAGCCCGTCCGAGTCTCTGGCCCCCCCTCCAGCCCCTGGCACTTCTGTCCCAGCCCCCCCTCCGCACAGCCCTGCTCACCGCCACTGGCTCAGGGTCTCGATGAGGCGGGCGTAGCCCTGGGCGGCAGCCAGGTGCAGGAGGCTCATGCCCCGGAAGGGGCTTCCGTGAGCCAGCTGTTCGGAGCCCCTCCAGGTGGAGCGAGGGATCATGCTCTCTACCAAGACCACCACTCGGGCCTCAAACCCGGGCCCCTGGCCTTCATCCTGCATTTCAGACAGCCTCGTGCAGGGACCCGAGCACCTGGTCCCCAGCTCAGGCTGGCCCTGGCCGCCCACACCTGCCCTCCAGCTTCCTGTCCCACCCTGCCCATACGTCCCGTGCCAGCTTCCCGCCACCCAGAGCTGTCTGGACCCCGGGTGTCCCAGTTAGCCAGCCGCAGACGCCTCTCCGTCTCAGGGCCCAGAGGCCTCTCCCTGTGCACTTCCGTGGAGACTTGGGCCCCGCTCTCCCGGTCCCCTCCCCCACCCTCTTCAGATCAGAAATAGTCCAAAGCCTGTCGTGCCAAGAGGGCGCCCAGAATAGCCACTCCTGCCCCGCGGTGGAACAGGAGCGGCAGAGGGGTGACGTCAGGGAGGAGGAGGCTGGGGACGGGAGAGCCGCACACCGGAGCCATCTTCTCCAGAAGACCCCCGAGCTCCCTCCTCGCGCAGGTACCTGGATCGGAGGCGCGGCAGGACCGCGGCAGGGAGCCTGCCCGGCTGCCGCCATGTCGGCCATGCGCTTCTCCATCTGCTCCAG